TATATTAACATCAAATGTCATCCACTACAAGTTTAAAAAAATGTATTTTAATCTGAATGGATGAATAAAAAGTGCTTTATTAACGATTGAAAATTTGAACAAGATATATATATATATATATATATATAATAATTCCCTCTAACATACTTTAAATTAACTCTTTTTAATGATCTATAAATAATCTTTTTTTTTTCATTCTTAGGTGTTTAAAATAAAACATTGTAATCTTAATCGTAATCGGTTCTCATTGGAAAAAAACAGTTATTTAAGGTATCCGACTACGTTCGGAACCGTGATTTTAAAAAAGCACATAAATGGATAATTTCCATGATATTTATTGTCACTCAGATTAGAATACACGCATAAAATAGTTTTAAGGACAATTATAAGTTGTGATTAAATTATATATATTTAAATATATATAGGAAGAGTGTGAACTAATAGTAGGGATTAAAAAAAGACATTAAATGACTAAAAAAACTATCTGATTTCGGTACACTTTATTGCTAATAATAATAACGGCTAGCAATATTCTTTTCCAATAGAAGCATCCTCCTCCGCCCCTAAACGGGACTATTTTGGGTCCCATGTCCCTTGAAGCAATAAAAACCTAAAAAAATCTCTGTGTGAATATTACACCCACTCAAAAACAACCTCACGTGCAAGGTACATAAATAGCAATCTCACGTTTTGAGCTCTCAACACGAGCCTAAACAAGACGTGAACAGTTTATGAGAATAGAACAATAACATCTTTTCTTAATTTGTTTCTAAAGCGCTAAAAAGTCTTGCAAACCAAAGGCGGCTTAGAAAAACCCCCAAAAGAAGATTTTTATCTCCCGAACTTCTTACTCCACCCCCACGAGGAGCAGTCACGAGTCAGCACCGCCTTTCTTGCTTCGAATTTCTCTTAATGACGATTCGGCTATATTTGTCGTTTTATGAAACAAGCTCCTTATTTATGGATATTTCTCTCACTTTAACGACTCAAGGGTATCGTTTAGCGTCTACAATCTAATCTCCACTAATCGCCCTCTGAAGAAGAAAATTGTTTGTCTTCTAGGGGTGGGAGTGAAATAGTTTCTCGGTTGAGGTGTTAAAATTAGTGCCGTTTCATGCCGGACGTTCATAGGGAAGGATAATATTTTTCTTCTTTTCGGGTTCTGTTTTGGAGTTTTTTTTGTGTGTGTGTTAAAGTATTCAGAAATGGGGCATTATTGTTTAATTTTAAAAGAGTAGGATATGTAAGGGCTTATGACTTGATTTTCCTTCTTTATTTTAATCATAGGAAAAATGTTGCTTTGAGTTAAAAATTGAACCTAAAAAAAATAAAATTCTGAATATTTTCTTTTAAAAAAAGAAACTTAGACTTTAATTACTATTAAATTTAAAATTTATATTTATTACAAAATTAAAACAATTTGTTCAATTCGAAAAATAAAAGGAAGTGAGTGCTTATTATCGTTGCTCTTTAAGTCAACACTAGGGTAAGGGTGCCCAACCCAAATGACCTTGTGGGCCACTTTGGAAAAACATTACAGTTCCGCAGTTCTTATATAAAAATATATATCTTTATACTAGTTTTTGACCCATTACAGACATTTATTGGAATGGAAATTTAAAGCGAAATGAATTTTTTTTGTTTTTATTATTTTTCATGTATACAAACATAGACGATATTATAATAATAATATAATGATAAATTATGCTTAGCTTTAGCAATAAGCAGCGCAATTAAGGTATCCGACTACGTTCGGAACCGTGATTTTGCAATAGCGTATAAATGGGCAATATTTATGATATTTAGTGTCACTTATATTAGAAAATGTATATAAAATTGTTTTAAGAATAATATTACAATAAAAAATTATTTAAGTACAATATTTTGACAAAAAAATGAACATATAAAATGACCCACTTTCAAAATATTCTCTTTTTGTGAAAAATGCTTCTATTATAATAATATTTTACCTGTATATAGCTCAGATCTCTGTACAGAGGCTCAACTAGAATTTTTGAAATATATAACTTAGAAGTGGATTTATCCATGTTTTACGACAACAGAGGAGAGAAATTTTAAGAAAAAAACACTGATAATTATTTTAATTGGTTGTAACTCTGAAAATAATGTGAATTTTTCAAAAAAATAGTTCAGACTCTATGTGGAGAAGTCTTTACTTTACATAAGCACACACACACAAAATATTATTATTTTAGAAGCATTTTTTATAAAAGGAGAACATTTTGAAAAAAAGGTTCTTCTAAGTTAGTTTTTTGCCAAAATATATTTAAATAATTTTTTTTTGTCACAAAATGTCCTTAAAATAATTTTATACATGTATTCTAATCTGAGTGACATTAAATATCATGAAAATTATCCATTTATGCGCTTTTTTAAAATCATGGTTCCGAACGTAGGATACCTTAAGCTTTAGGAATCAAGTGCCATGCTACGAGAGATCATTGCAATGCAATACTGCTCACTACTAAGTATGTATAAAAACAGAAGCAACGTAATAAAACAGGGACAGTTATGGGATATTTTTGTTACAAAAAATTACACTAAAAACAAAAATATTGCACAAAATAATCATATTTTGTAAAGTTGAATTTCGCGGGCTGCAAAATTATTCAAGGCGGGCCACATGCAACCCCCGGATTGCGGGTTGGCCACCCCCGCACAAGGGCTATTGTTGACAGACCTTGTAACTTTGTACCATGGTTTGGCATCTGAGCCGGGGCTGCGGTAGCCCAGTGGTCAAGGTATCGGATCATGGCAGGCATGTCATGAATTCGAGCCCAGTACCACTAAAGACCCGCCATGTAGGACAGCGATGCACGTTAAATCTGTCGAGAGCTGAAACGTCCTCCCGTTGGTGTGGTGTGGTAGTTAGGAGAGTGGGGTGTCTGCTCAGGTGTCGTCCACGTCTCTTGACCATGGTTCAAAATTACTTGGTCCATCGTCAAAAGCCCTCGTGTAGTTAAACAGTGCGACGTTGATATTCATTCATTCATTCATTCATTGGCATCTGAGCTGGTACCCCACCTCTCCGAGTTTCCACATCATCACGCCAATGGAAAGACTTTTATCCTTGACAGATTTAAGTGCATCGGTCCCCACTGCATGGCACTAGGGCTCGAACTCATGATACGCCGCCAGCCACGAATTCATGACTGTGAACATTAGGCTACTATGGCCCCCATACTTCTACGCTCAACTGAATATGGAACTACTCCATTCTAAATATTGTAAGCAAAAATAAAAATTGAAATAAAAAGTGAGAGGAAAAGGCATTTTAAATTAAATTCATAAGTTGAAAAATATGCGTCTTGGAAATCACACAAAATTATTTGGCTTAAAAGCTGTTTAAATAAAAAAAAATTTCTCTAACTGTTTTGATCTTATTTATGCTAATTCCTTACCATTTCTAATCAAATTTTATTATCCACTAGTTTAAATAATTAATTTTAAATAACGCCTTTGAAAAAAATCAGTGACAAATAAGAAAAACTGAAAGTTAAGTGAAAATTGATTAAAAATAAGTGAAAATTAATTTTATTACAAGCTGTGATATAAGACAGTGCTTCTCAAACTTTCAATATTGGTGACCCAATTTTCAATCATAATTTTTCTCGCCCCTTCCCTCCAATACAATAACAATGTATTGAATGTAGTAATAATGTATATTTGAAACTAAAGCTACGAGTACATACGACCTTAAATATAAACCGTACAAATTTTCAAGAGATAAATATTAAATATTGTACATGTTACGCTTTTAAGTAATATATAATTTATAAGATTAATAAGTTATAAGATTAAGTATATGTAAGATATTAAGTATATGTAAGATTAAGTATATGTAAGATTAAGTATATGTAAGATTAAGTATATGTAAGATTATAAGATTAAGTATTATGATATATACTTTTCCTTTCTAATTTTTAATGAAACAGATTACAATAAACATGCAACGTGTATTTTTATTTTGTCAGAATGTATTTTGTTTTGATTCATTTCAGTAAATTAATATATATTTTTTTATTTTCGACTTTTTGATATGTTTGCTCCTTACAGTTTGCGAATCGCTGATAGAAGAAGATCCATTTTGACAGATGATATCAGAAATGTTGCTAAATTTGATACC